TATTTCTTGTCTTCTTAATGACTTTTTGCTCTCTTCATGTATGATGTTCTTGATGTCATCCCACTATGCTACCAGAGCTCCTTTAGCAGTTCAAAACTACCAGCTGTCCCACCGGAGAAAGATGAGGCTTTCTGTTCCAGTAAAGATTTACAGCGTCGGAAACCCTGTACAGGGTGGCTATGAATCAGAACCGACTCCACAGCACACCACCACCACCACCAAGGACATATTCGGTATCCTGGTGTGGCATTGTAGGATAAGCACTTGACTGCAAGGTCAGTGTGAACCATAAGGTTGGTGGTTCAAACTTACCAGCCTTTCCTCGGAAGCCCTATACAGGCTTGCTATGAGTCAGACCAGACTAGATGGCACTTAACAACAACAACAAGGGCATATTCTGCAAGCCAGGCTCCTGCCCACAGGCACACAGCTTTACTCAATTCATGAGCCTAGAGCCCAAGACTACTCTACCTCTCCATCCCATCACCTCTGGCCTCTGGCCTCTGGCACCGTCATCTCTGCTGTCATGCCTTGTCTAGGTAGGATCTCGAGCTCCACTCCTGCTCTAACTTCTTGATGGTCCTGGGATCGCCTGTTGCTAAAATGAAAGATAAACTACTTCCCCCTTTTTTAGTTACACATCTTCTACGATTACAGTTGTGACAATCACAATTAATCCTGCTAACAGTTACTCACAACTGATTCATAAAATTCTCTCCCTCTCCTCCCCCAATCCCCTTTTACCAGCTCCATCTGGAGAAGAGGAAAACTATTCAGTGGGGAGTCTACCTTAGCCCCCTCATTCTGAAACTAAGCACACTCATGAAGGCTTGTTAGACAGCCGCTTCATGCCTTTATAGCCCCATTTTTTATAGCCAATGTCTAGGTTGCCCGTACCTATCACCCTAGTTCACTGAGGAAACAAGCTTGTTTCTTGATATGAAGAATCCTTCCATTCCGATTGGAATTTTGAGACAAGCACCATTTATAGGAAGATAACTGAGGCTCAGAGAGGGGACCTAGCCAAGAGAGAACCCTGGTCTCAAACCCAATTCTATGTGATTCCAGAGCTACTACTCTTTCTAGCTGGAGTGGAGGGTCAGAGAAAAAGAGGAAGACCCCCAACAAGATGGATTGACCTAGTAATGTAACAACTCCTCTTTCAGCCCTAGCTAATCAAGTGGCAGCATCGATGGACTCAAGCATGGCAACAATAGTGAGGTTGGCCCAGGATTGGGCAGTGTTTCATTCTGCTGTACATAAGGTCACTATGGGTTGGTACCAACTCGATGGCACCTAACAACAACAACAACTCTTTCTAGGACTCCGCTCCTTGGTCACAGTCAGTAGATGCCCATTGGAGACAAGATCATAGATGGGAGAAACAGAGGAAGAACAAGGGGCCAGGTTGTGGAGGGGTAGGCATTAAGACCAAGATCTTTAGTGCTTTGGGGTGATACATGCTAATAATAATGATGGTGATAGTGGTAGTGAACACTTTCATAGTACTTAACAATGTGTTCAACAGCAAAACTGTCAATTTGAGGACTAAGGTGTGCCTGACCCAAATCATGGTATTTTCAATAGCCTCATAGGAATGTGAAAATTAGACAGTGAATAAGGAAGACCATAGAAGAATTGGTGCATTTGGATTATGGTGTTAGAGAGGAACATTGAAAGTACCATGGCCTGCCAGAAGAACAAACAAATTTGTGTTGGAAGAAGTACAGAATGGTGAGATTTCATCTCTCATACTTCAGACATGTTACCAGGGGGGATCTAGAGAAGGACATCATGCTTGGTAACATGGAGGATTGGTGAAAAAGAAAACACCCAATGAGTGGCAGTAGCAATGGACCCAACAATTGTGAGGATGACAGAGAACCAGGCAGTGTTTTGTTCCCTTTGAGTTGAAACTGACTTGACAGCACGCAACAACAACACTGTATACATATGTATAATATGTATAAGGCCCTTTATACATATTAATTCACTTCATTTCCATAACAACCTTGCTGGATGGGAACTATTATTATTATCTTTTTACAGTGAGATTGTATAACTTGCCCCAAATCACACAGCCAATTGGAATGTGAAGCCCAGGCTGTCTGACTCTTGTTGTTGTTGTTGTTGTTAAATGTCTTTGAATTGGTTCTGACCCATAGAGAGACCCTATATAAGGTTTCCAAGGAGCAGCTGGTGAGCTTGAGCCGCCGACCATGCAGTTCAAACAGCTTTGCAGTCTGACACATTAACCCACAGCGCCACACCAGGACTCCTGTCTGACTCTAGGGTTCCGGTTTTAATCAATACAACACACTGACCCTCAGAGTCAAAGTAGACAGGAAGTCCTCAGGAGGACCCCTAGAGCTTGGCAACAGGTCTCCCATGAGATAAATTATCCACGATTGTCTGCAGGAGAAGCAAAACGCTGGGTTGAGTGAGGAGCAAGGGGAAGAGGGAATGTCAGTGAAGTTCAGAGGACAGAAACAGAAGCAAAGGCGGGGAACATGTCAGTCTCCTGGCCTCCAAGGAGCACTCTGGCTGCACTTCTTCCAGCACAGATCAGCTAATGTAACAACTCCTCTTTCAGGCCCAGCTAATCACCTCTCTCTCCAACAGAAGTGTTCTCTCTCTCACCCAATGTTTAATGGTTACATATCGGGAGATTTATCCCCATACCTGTGGGATGCACTGAGAGGCAGAGGGCCCAAGTTCCTGCCTCACCCAGAGCCCTGCACACAGTGGGCACTGCAGACGACAGCAGCAGATGTGTGCTCTGTAAAAGGACACAGAGCTGGGAATCTGGACCAGAAGCTTAGGGAAATGAAGGTCAAGAGAGAGGAAAGCTAGGCAGCCTGCCTGGAGACTTCCTCCCACTGAGCACATGGGCTGGTGTTGGCAAGGACAGGAAGTCAGACAGGCCAGGCGTCCTCTCCCATCTTCACCCTTGCCCTGGGCCTCTGAGGCCTGAGCTCAAGTGACAGTCACAGCAAGTAGGAAGGTGGACAGAGTGGTCACCCAGGCAGGCAGGCCAGCCAAGGAAAGAGGCCTGGGGTCCCCTGGGCCTGGGTGACAATCTTGTCTGCAACTGGAAGGGAGCTTATCTTTTGCTCAAGATTTACGAATATTGGGGGCAGAGGAGAGCAGTAGGCAGGACACTCTCTCTGACTCACCCCTGCCCATCCCCTCCCCAGGAAAACCACTTCTGAGGACTCACAGAGCACGAACTCCAAGGCAGTCACATCTGTGACCTCAGAGCCCACCAGGACCCCCATCTGGGGGGACACAGTGAAAGTAGAGATCCAAGCTGAAGATGCTGGGAGAGAAGGTGAGGCTGGGGACTGGGTGAGGGTACCTGGGACAGGGTGTGGGACCCAGACAACCACTTAAGATAGCAGCAGAACCACTCAGCTGGAAGACACCTGAACACTTCCTTGGGCTCAGTTAAAAGCATTTTAAAGGGGAAAAGAAAGTCATAATTCTGTCATGCCTCATCTCCCCAGCCTGCTCGAAAAATGAGTTGTTCCACATAAATGATTTTCCAGACAATGAAAGCTTATCTTTTTTATGATTGTTATTATTTTCCTGGTTGCTTTTAGTGCTGTTGCAGCATCAAGCACATTACAGCCTCCTAGCACGTCCACACACATCATTCTTGTAGAGCCGTAACCTCTCAGGAGGAACAGTGCTGCTCCATTGCTTGGATGAGCAAACTGAGGTGCAGGGAATCTAAAAAGCTTGCTCAAGTTCAAGTAATGATATGCAGAAGGTCTAGGACTCGGCATTATATGTTCTCATAAAGGTTCTATCCAGAGTTCTATCTGCCTCAATTCAATTTTTGTTTTTTGTGTTCTTAAAAATGCACCTAGACAGGATCCTTGTCCCTGTTTAGGCTCCCGGGTCACTGCATACCATCAGAGAGGAATGCCCGGGGGCTTCCCAAAGGGTGGGGTCTGCTCTTGTAGAAACCAGTTAACAGCCCTCCACCCTCAGAAAGCCCTTTCAGTCCCCTTGTTTTGGCAAATTCTAAGCATTGATAGATAATTTCAGTGTTTCAAGACAGGGTTTAGACGAAGTCCCCAGGCACCCACATACATGCATACATGTGCACACACTTGTACTTTCACCTCACGGCCCATCTGGTTTCTGCTTCTGGGTGAAAGCTTGAATCAGGCACACAGTAGTTCTGGTAGCTTCTGCCATGGCTGCTGGCACTGTTAATAAAGACCCAAGAGGTGCTCAGTGACATCTCTTGTCTCATATTACCAGAAGGACCTCCATCTCCCTTCCTGCAGGTGGTCCTCTCCTGAGAGAACAGACTTTGCCCTGTCCGTTGAACACTTCAAAATCTTGTCAAGCTCTTGGACAGAAGGCATTGGTTTTCCTCACAAAGGGGCTGTGAGACTCAGAGGCGGCTGGGGGAGGAACAGCGATAAAAAGAGGAAGCTAGCTTTAGGTCAAGCTAGAGAATTATTTTTTTCTGCCTCTAAAGGGATAGGCGGAGCTACTGGGATAGTTGAGAAAATGCAAAAGAGGATTTCATGCAAATGCATGTGTAAGCATGTCTTTGTGGGCGCCTGTGTGTAGGTTCCTGTCTAATATGAACATTGTGTGTGAGCAGGTACATGCTGTATCTGGCCTGTGGGCATGCATATGTCTGTGTGCAGGTACGTGTCAGTGCACTTGGCTGCAACAGTGTATTGAGTGTGTGCTTGGAAGTGTCTGGGTGGTGGTGAGTGCCTGGCTGTAGATGAGCACATGCAATTTGTGTGTTGTGTATAGTATGTACACATGGGTGTGCATTTGTGTGATTGATGGAAAGTTGGGTGTGGTGGTGAGTGCACCTGGGCTGAAATCCTACCCTGGGCTTAACACAGGGGTGACTAGAGGAAAGGATGAGATGAGGTCAGTGGCCTTGGGGCCCATCTGCCAGAGATGAGGGCAGGGGGGATGGGACTACGAGGGAATGGCAGGCAGGGAATATTGGCAGGCGCCTCTCTGCAGATTGAAGTAGCTGGATGCTTGTTGGAACCTGGTTAAAACCGGTTGCTGTGGTGATATCTATGGTAGGGGGTGGGGGAGGCGGAGGCCAAGCCAAGAGGCAGAGGATGGGTGGGCGGAAGCATAAGGATGTGTTAATGAAAAGTGAAGGGGAGTTTCAGATCCTGTGTGAGGGCCAAAGAAGGTGGGTGGCAGAAATGACTTGTTGGCCATACAAAGGGAGCAGCAGGAGGTTAGAGGCACAATTCTCAGAGAAGCTGATGAAGCATGTTTGCAGCACGGTGACAGAGTGGGGGAGGGGAATGGACAGCAGTCCCCCCAATTACAGCTTATCTGCTGGTGGGGGCAGCAGTAATGCAAGACACTCATCACTTGTCCAGCCCCTGAGAGTGTAAACCAGGTCTAGGGACTCATGGAAGTGGACAGGAGAGACTGCAGCCTCCACAACTCTTGTGGCTTTGGGTGGGAGCAGGTGAATTTCCTCAGTTTGGATCAGGGCTGAGTGAGTTTATAGAGAGCTACAGAAATTTTTGTGAAGTGCTATCGAGTCATTTCTGTCTCATAGAGACCCTGCGTAGGGTTTCTGAGGAGCTACTGGTGAACTTGAGCCCCTGACCTTGATGTTCAAACCGACCTATAGTCGAGTGCTTATCCTACAGCGCCAGTGGTAGCTATAAGGATCACTTGCACAAAAGTTCATCCCTACAACAATCCTAGAAGAGAGACAGGGTTTGTTGTTTTTTCAAGTATTAACATTTTTCAGCTGGCTAAGTTAAGTGACTTGGCTAAATGTCACAAAACAAGTTGACATCTTGATATTAGAACCAAATCCCTTGCCTTACCCTACTTTCTTCAAGTCAACCCAAGAAATTTGTTGCTCTCCCTCCATCACCCCATCTTCGCCTTTTCTTTGAGCATGGATCCCATGTGGTCAGCTTTTGAGGAGCCTTGACAAGTGTCTTCCCCTCTCTGTGTTTCCAGAGTAGATAGAGGAGGAGGGGGAAAGGAAGACGGTCAGCTTCCTTCTATTCTTTCAGGCCCAAGGGACTCACTTCTATGTCCAAATGACCCATGACCCACCTCCTATGTCAAAATGACCCATCAAGCTCCAAGTGACCTAGAACCAAGGGGATCCCAGCCTGCTGAAAATAACAAGGTTGGCAGCTGTCCCTGAAATACCACCCCCTACCCACCCCACGCTCCCACCCCCAGCTCAAAGAGAGAGTCAGAGAGCTCTCTTCTCCCTCATCTTCCCTTTCCAGTTCATCGCCAACTTCTTTTCTTTCCCCCTTCCTCATCCATCCACCATCCTCTCCTTCCTTTCATCCCCCATCTCCTCTTCTTCAAATCAGACTTTCAGAGTGGGAAGAAGCCTTGGGGTCCCTGAATCCAGTCTCCCCCATCAACCATTTACTAGCTGTGTGATGTTGACCAAGTGGAAATGCTTTAAAAACAGAGGTACTGGTTTCTACTCAAGGGGCTGTGTCTGAGATTTCTTGAATTCATGGCTGAGAAGTGCCATCCTTAGCTGGAACATGTTGTTGTTGTTGTTGTGTGCCTTTGAGTCAGTTCTGACTCATAGCTACCCTAGGTGCTCACAGAATAGTGCCACTATAATTAATTTACATTCATTCATATTTGGATCGGCCAGGTGGCATCATTGATGGACTCAAGTGTGGCAGCGGTGGTGAGGTTGGCCCAGGATCGGACATTGTTTCGTTCTGCTGTGCATGGGGTCGCTATGAGTCGGTTCCGACTCGATGGCACCTGACAACAACAACAACAACATCATATTTTCCTTAGAATTTATTCCCAAGTTTATGCCTTTTAATGACAAAATGTGATCTCTTTGGAGAAAGTTTATCAAGAGGTGCATTATTCCTTGTGTTTAGATTAGTTTTCATTTATTTGAAGTATGTTTTATTGATATTTGTATTGAAGAATTTCTTGGCCAGATTACTTTTTCTTACTGAGTCTCACGTAGGAGAGATCCCACCTTTCCTGGACCTTAATAGCATCTATTAGGGGCTCAGATAGTGCTTATGGGGTTGTAACCTGCACATCTCCACATGCACATGTGTGCTCCATGTATATTCATGTATACTGATTCCTCAGCATGGCCCCTGTGCCTCTGCTCTCAGAAATGTTGACTACTTCTCATTATCTACCTCACTGGAAGGTAAGGTGGTCATCTCATCCTGACTCTGTTTCCACTTCTCTCCCCAGATGTGGTGTTCACGGTGGTGGACAACAAAAAGAAAGAACAACTGCTGTCTTACCAAATTCCCATCAAGTACCTGCGTGTCTTTCATCCCTACCACTTCGAACTGGTGAAGGTGAGTCAGAGCTCTGGGCTTGGAGCTCACAAGGGCCTGGGGCAGGCAAGCAGAGAACTCGTGGGACCCACCTTGATGCCCCCAGCTCTTCCCAAGAGTAGCTCTGAGCATCCCATGCTCATTAAATGAATGTACCAATTAAAGATGTATTCTGATTTCACATAGGTTAAAAGAGAAGAGTGTATCTAAATATTGAAGAGATGCAGTATTGACAGAGTACCTACTGTGTTCCAGGTCCTGTGCTAGACACTTTGCTTACCACCTCTGTTCCTCAAGGTGGACTCTGTTTTGTATACAGGGGACTGGGACTTGGGGAAAGGAGTCTTCTCACTCTGGATCACAGAGCTAGTGAGTGACAGACTTGAAGGTTGTTGTAAAACATGACATTAATCATCCCTCCCACTGCACTCTCTACTCAGCTGGGTTCAGAAATGCACTTCAGTGGTCACACAGAACTCAGACACCATGCTCACAGTTAAGGGGTTTATTAGTGAAATGTTCAGGGTACAGTTCTTCCAGTCAGTACAGCCTCTCCTCAGCAGGGCCCACAGTTAGACTGCTTTCTGCCCACACAACAAAGACAAAGCTCTTCTAGGATTGCTGATAAATGCTCAAAGACATTTGACTCCACCATAAACCTCAACCCAAAGACTCTCAGCTTAGGTCTATGGGCCAGCAAACCTAACTCCACCAATTAAGTGCCTGGAGGCACCGCATTCTAAAGCTCCTGCTCAAAGTCACTCCGCGTAACTTGCTCCTTGGGATGGGAAGTCCACTGCTCTGTCTCGTGTTCTAGCTCTTGGTTCTGTTGCTGCTGCTCCTCTGTCACTCCTCTGGTATGACAGCTTCTGTTGCTAGGTCAAAGAGTTTCGACTCACTCCACTCCTGGTTCTGCTTTAATGGTAGTGAGATCCCCACCTCCATTTCTGCTTCTGAAACGGTTCGTTTTATCCTCATGCTAGAGTTTCATGTTTTTACAGTTGCAATAACTGCTAGCATCCAGAGCTGAGTCATGTCATCTTTTTAGTCTCTTCTCCCATTTTCTCTTACCCAGACCCGTCAGGATGAGATGAGTTTGGTGGGAGTTGCTAAAACTAAGGCTAAAAAAAACCCACATTAAATAATTCACTACACCACAAGGGTGGACCCAGATCACACAGTCTTCTAAGCCAGTTCTTTCTGCGCTACCTCCACACACAGCCTGGGGAGAAGAAGGCCCAGAAAAACTGGGGTATGTGAGAAAGAAAGCATTTCATGGATGCAGCCCCATAATGGGGAACTGGGACCCTATATCCATGTCTTGAGCCTCCCAGACCAGCTCTTCTTCCTAACTTCTTTCCCCAGTGTTGATTAGTGGAAAGGATAAGTCACTCTCGGATTGTTTAAGTACTTATAAAGCTCCTACTGTTTGCCAGGTCCTGGGTCAGAGATGAGCAGAAACATCATATTCAGAGCAAGTTGGCATCTTGATACTAAAATTAAATCCTTTGCTTTACTCAACTTTCTTCAAGCCAACCCAAGAACTTTTGCTGCCCTTCCTTTTCTGCCCCCTTTCCTTTGAGCATGGATCCCATGTGACCAGCTGTTGAGGGGCTTTGGAAAGTGTTTTTCCCTCTGTTCCTACAGATCCCTGTCATGGTTTAGAGAAAATACCAATCTGAAGCCAGATTATCTGGGTTTACTAGCTAAAATAATCTGATACCTGATAGCAGTAAGTCTGCTACTTATTAGCTAGATATCAATAAAAACCAGTTATCAGTGAGTTGGTTTCAACTCATAGCCACCCCATATGCTCAAAAGGGTTTTAGTAGTTGATTTGGGGGGAATAGCTCACTAGGTCTCGTTTCCAAGATACCTCTGGATGCATTTGAACCTCCAAACTCTTGGTTAGCAGTTGAGGACTTTAACAGTTTGTGCCAGCCACAGACTACAATGTCCACAGGAAGCTTCCATTCCCCATCAGCAAAATGGAGGCAATATCCTTTGTAGCACGATCATTTGGAGGATCAAATACAACACTGGCCGTAAAGCACCTAGCAGGTAGCAGACACTCAGTTTGGGTTTGTTCCTCTCTTCTCTCTCTCATCATGGACCTTTCTCTACAACCAGAAGTATATCTAAGGAATGAGCAGGGCAGGCATGTTCCCTGGGTGCCGCTTGAAGGAGGGTGCTGCTGAGCAGTTTCTATGAACATTGCCAGTTTCCACTGTTAGCCGTGAGAGAACATTCAGCAAGTTAAAACTGATACCTTCATATTAGAAACCCTCTATGGGTTCGCAGATCACTGTGTGAGCTTGCTCTGCTGAGTGTAGAAAAAGAAAAGGCCTAAAAAAAATGACTTTGAATACATCACAGTTTTCATCCGTGAGAGCAAGGAAGGTACAGCTGTCATTTTCAGGCAGTGCCACAATGTGTTAAGTAAAAGATGGAAGAGCTTGACTTGTATCTTTGAACTGATATGATGGTAAAATTATTTAAAAGATGGGTGCCTGATGTGTGGGCAGGGGTGCAATTTCAGTGCTTGCTATAGACACTATTCTCCATAGATATACCTCTGCCTGCCACTCTTAGTTCTGGCCCAAGGATCTCCACCTTCCCCAGACTCCAAGAGGAACCCCAGATCTACCTGACAGAGCCCAGGGCAGCTTCAGGATGGGGCATCAGGACAGGAAAGCAAAGGACCAGAAAGACCAGTGAGCTACCCTGGGAAACATAGCACTTGAACATGAGTCCATCAGTATCACCCAAGCCTCTTACATTCTCGGCCTTGTTATCACATCTATACAAAGAAAGCAGGCCAGCCAGCCAGCGCTGGTCCTTGTGAGGGCGATGAAGTATTCAAATGGAAAAGGGAAGATTTATTTATATTGATCTCTTTGGAAGGGCTCATAGGGACCATGAGCTTTAATTATCAGCTTGGAGCCCCAGTGGAGCAATGTCAAATGATTGTCTGCAGAGAGCTGGATTTATGGCCAGGGTCAGCCCTCTCCACACTCGTCTTCTTGTCTTCTTCCCCACCACCCTGTTCCCATCCCATCCAGTCTGGGAATTCTGGTGAAGCCACTTCTAAGACCCAACTGTTTGCAACAGTCATCCGGAAGGGCAGCTTCATCCCACGCTACATCGGCAACAATCACACAGCTCTGGAGGTACTGAGAGGGGTAGGGTACCCTGGGAGGGATAGGATGGAAGGGAGACCAAGCTATAAGCAGACCCCCATGCTCTGTCCTTGGTCACCTCTGGATAGCCTAAGAGTGTGGAGATGGGGTGTCTGGGGAAGAAACCAAAAAGACACTGGGCCTTTCAAAAGAAGTCGTTTGCAGACAAGCCCTGGGATGACAGAGATGATGATGATGCTAAGGTTTCCCAGAACCCTCCAGGCACACAGCCCTGCCCTAGCCTCTCCTCTCACTGCCCTTGGAAGTGAGAGGCAGGGAGTTTAACCATAGTTCTGCTCCTCCCACCCTGTCGCCAGCCTTGCAGAGAGGCTGCCAGGCTCCAGCCCACTGTGCTGGATCTCCTGGGGAGAGTACTATGTTCCCCACTTGGCCCATAGTCCTAGCTCTTTTCTATCCCATCCACTCTCTCCTGGGGTGGCAACCCCTGACCTAGGACCTAGGGTCCCCAAGCAATAACTTTAGAGCCTCACCACCTTTTCTCAAATCCTGTTTCTAAATAGATTTGACTGGTCTGCTAATTTGATCTGCATCCATTCATCCAAGAACTATTCACAGAGTTTCTTCAGTGCTAACTTTCACCTACAACTCCCTTTCTCCCACTCCTAGGCCTCTAGCTGCAGGAAGATCTGGAAATGCTATGGACAGACAAGGTCCAGGGCCTTGCCCCCACTCCCCTTTCTCCTTAGACTTCAAACTGCCCAGGAATCTTATCAGGGTGGGAGCCAGTGGAGTTCAAGTTCTGGTCTTCCCATGCTCCACCATGGCTGATCCTCCCCAGAGCCCTGGGAGCCTGGCAGGGCAAGAACTGTTCTTTAGCCCCATTTCGCAGCTGGGGACACTGAGACCTAATGGAATTCCAAAGCTCTGGGTCCACATCTACTTCCCCATAGCCACCCTTTGAATGCCAACATGTGTCAGACCTGAAGGCACCCTCGGCTCTCATTTCTTCTCTTCTCTCTCTTCTATCATTTTCTTTCCTGAAGACAGCAGCTCACACACAGAACCAGAAAGAATGGCAACAGCTTGACGTATCTGTCTCCAAGTCATACCCCACAGGGATGGGTCACATCCCCAAAACCCAGACCGAACTTTAGATCTATAGGGGGCAGCTGTGGTTTGTCTCACCCCCATCTCTGGTCCCCTAATTTGCCTGGTAAAGGTGTGGAACACAGACCCAGAAGTCTGGGCCTCCCTGCCTAGCACAATGCCACAGCACAGATGCCTCCCTGTTTGTACTAGAGGTGCAGCATGTAAGCAGATGTCTGCTTCTAGTGGCAGGCAGGCCCACATAGTGGGGGGTGAAGGTGCTTCTTCTGTTACTTGCTGGGCTCTGTCATGAGCAGGTGCACTTGGACAGCTGTCTCCTTCACACCTGACCAGTATTAACATAAAACGGGTGTAAATTATCACCACAGTGCCCACTGCACCTGTCAGAACCACCTTCCAGCCATTATACCTGTCCCGTGAGCAATAGGACTTGATAGTTCTGCAAAAAAATTCCTCAACCCCATCCAAAGTTTGAAATTCCACCATCAGATGCTCATTCTTTTGAAGATTGTGAAGGGGCTTTCAGTCTCTAGAGGCCCAAAAAGGTCTTAAATAATTTAAAAACTAGTTGCCATCAAGATTACTTCAAACTATGATAACCACATGTGTGTCAGAGTAGGTCTGTGCTCTGTAGAGTTTACAATGACTGAGTTTTGGCAACTAGTTCACCAGGCTTCTGAAGTACCTCTGGGTGGATTTGAACTTCCAACCTTTCAATTAGTAGCCTGGCAATTTACCCAAGCTAATCATTTGCATCACCCTGAGTCTCTGAAACACCTTAAGAACTATTTTAAGGCTTTAATAGCTCACACTGTGTGGGATTAGCTGGCATTCAGCTGGGGGAGTTGCTAAGAAAGAGGAGGAAAACCTGAAAGCCCACCGTTACTCGTCACTCATAGTGATCTCATAGGAAAGAGTAGAACTGCCCCATAGGATTTCTGAGACTTTACATCTTTGCTGTAGTAGACAGCCTCATCTGTCTTCCTCAGAGCAGCTGGTGGGTTTGAACCATGAAACCTTGCTGTTAGTAGCCCGGTGCTTAACCCACTGTGCCACCAGTGCTCCATAAGAGTGAGGGTATTCAAACCAGCCCCTACTCCTGTGTCCTCTCCTCCCATGAAGATCAGAGCTAGAAGGACTGGGGAGATTACTGTCTAACCTCTGAATGTACATTTGAGGAAACTGAGGCCCAGAGTGGAGTGGGGGCTGAGGCCCAGAGTCAAGGTCACACGGTGGTCAAGCTGGAGGGTGGGAGGTAGAGGTCATGCTGCAGTAGACCTAGCAGAGCCTCTACCCATCACAGTTGTGCCTGAGGCGTGACCTTCAGCTGTGTCCAGGGCTCCAGTCCTTTCTTCTTCCTGCTTTTCTTTCTTTCCATCAGCACTATGTAATTAAAATTCCTGCCCATCCTCCAAGACCAACTCCACACACACACACACACACACACACACACACACACACACACATCCCCACACACACTCTCTCCCTAAGGCTATTGCGTGGCTCCTCCCCTTTCCATGTGTCTAAGTTTCTCTCTTTCACACTCTCCTTTGTTTTTTCCCCTTTTCCCTCACTGGTATTACATTCATTTATCCACCAAACATATATTGCGCTCCTATTCCATAGCCAAACATTATTGCTAAAAGTTGTAGATAAGTCGCGAATCAGCACTACAGGGCTGACTCTTTTCTAGTCCAATGGACAGAAAAGAAACAAGCAGTAAATGACAATAATCACAAGCTATAGTGATAAATGCGGGGGAAGAGAGAATTCGGGAGCTGGAAGGAAAAGGATGGGCGGACGACTTAGGACCGAGATCAAGGAAGGCATCTCAGAGGTGGTGGCAGTTAAACTAAAGGCTGAGAAAGAAGGAATCAACCATGATGGGAAGGGGTCTGGGCAGAGGAATCAGCACTTACAAAGACTTTAACACAGCAATGAGCTGGGCATGCCACAAGAGTGGGAGAAAAAAGAGGCTAGAACAGAGATGGGGGCTAAGGAGTTGGCAGAAGTGAAGGTCAGGAGCCAAAAGATAAGAAGTTTTTGGGAGGGCAGTGGAGGTGAGTCAGGACAAAATCCATGTCTTCTCCCACTGCCTCCCCAATGCTTAGCCCAGAGCCTAGAGTAGGTGGTCACTGAGGGCTGGAACAAAACTTTTGGCCTCCATTCCCTGAGGAAGCTGCCCAGGGACCTGCTCTGACCTTCCGCATGATGGCCTCTTGTTGGGAGCCCTTTCTCTGCCTAAGTGTTTGTTGGTGTCCTCCGAAAGCTGTGCAATGGAAGTCTAGAGACAATATTGAGGACTGAGGTGCAGAGAGGTCTTTAGAGGGGAACAGTGGGCTGAAAGATCATTGGCATATGATATTGACTGTCATTTGATGAAGCAAAAGGAGCCCAGAGGTACTGATGTTTGCGGTTCCATTCTAAGCCACCAGCATTCACTGGGCAAGGTCCGCTGTGAGGCAGCCACCATGCTTGGAGATTTCAGGAACCTTAATGTGGTTGGCGAAACCAGACATGGTTTACAAAGTGTTCTCACAAATGATCTACTCAGAGACACCTCACAACCCTGGGAGGGAGCCAGGACATGACTTTTTTCTTTTTTTTTTTAATGTTTTATTGTGAATTATGTGATAGTTTACATGGGAGAACATTAGTTTTACATTCATCCTATCGTATATCATTTCATTGCTATGGTTACAATCCCCTCCATGCATCATCAACCAACCAAAGGGTATACCCTGCAAGCCTGCCCCCCGGTCGTCAGCACACATCCCCTCTCCCTCTCTGTGTCTAAAGTCCCCAACTGCTCCATCTCTCCACATCATCATCTCTACCTCCATCTCAGGCGTCACTGTTTCTCTGGATAGGGTCCCGCTCTCTGCTCTTCTCCCTTGATGGGCCAGGGCATGACTTTGAGCCCTCTGTAACTGATTGAAACTGAGAGTGGCCAGGGTCACCCACACCCCAGGAGCCACAATGCCCTCATGCCCAGGCCCGGTCTCCTATGCCACACCCTCTCCCTAAGAAAAGTGGGAATAAAAGAGCCACTACTGAACCACAGGATGGAAAACCACAGGCCGTAGCCACAGGCAGACAGAGAAAGTTTCCTGGAGGAGGAGGGTAGCCCTGCACAAAGACAGAACCAAATCCAGCAGGGAGGAGGAATGAGCAGGAACAGCGGTGTGAGGCTGGGATGAGCCATTCTTCAGGGAGAAAGATGGTGGACGGCTTGGCTGTGTGGCTGGGTTTACCTGCCTCTTTTTTTCCCAGGTCTTTCTCCGGGGAGTCAACGAGCCCTTAGCCAACAACCCTAGCCCTATGGTGGTGACTGCCCGAGTGGTTCCCAACTACAAGGAGTTTAAGTGAGTGGATGCCCAGGTGGGCATGGACGAGAAGGAAGGAGAGGGCAGAGGACAGATGATGGAGAAAGGCTGTCAGTGTTCTAGAGGCTGTGATTCCAGGAGCTCTGGAAACTTGCCCTCTCCCCAAAGTCCTTCAAACCTCCCCACTGGGTCTGAGAGCCCAATACGCTTCTCAAAGCAGAGCATGCCTTCCTTTCTACCACAGACTGGGGGTGGGGGAGAGAGGTTCTGAGTGTCTGCAGCAGGCCTGAAGAACTGAGCAGCCCGTGTGGGGAGGAGGAAGACAGGGGTCTCCAGTCCCTGCCCAGGGACATCTCAACTTAGCCATTTAGACATGGCTAAGTCCTGGTGTGGCGCTGTGGGCTAATGCGTCAGACTGCAAAGTCATTTAAACTGCAAGGTCAGTGGTTCAAGCTCACCAGCTGCTCTTTGGAAACCCTATACAGGGTCGCTATGTGTCAGAATCAACTCGATGGCACTTAACAACAAGGCCACAGAGCTCTGGTAGTGTAGTGTTAACAAATCAGGCTGCTAACCTCAAGGTTGGCAGCTCGAAACTACCAGCTGTTCTGTGGGAGAAAGATGAGGCTTTCTGCTCCCGTAAAGATTTACAGCCTCAGAAACCCTATGCAGGGTCACTATAAGTCGGAACCAACTCCACGGTGCTTAACAATAACAACAAGGCCACAGAGATGCATATTGCGTCGCAGGCAAAACCCATCTGTTGACCAAGATGAGCTTTCCCCTGGCTTTGGCCAACATCCAAAGAACCATAGCTCACCACCTAGGCCACTCACTAGGTGGGCCACTGGACTCTCTTTCATGCATCAATCTGGTGACTCCAAACTGGTATCCCACGGCTGCCAGGCTTGGACACACAGTCAAGAGTGCTGGCCACTGTGAGCACTCCTTGCTGATCCCTGTTTCATTGCCTGTCCAGGCTCAGCCAGTTAAACCAGGACCCAGCATCCAGGGGGCTGCCCATCACCCTACTCTCCTTCCCTATCTCATCAATGATGAACTTCGATGTTCCTCGGGTCAACAAGAATGGATGCCCTCAGGTATGGCCGCTTCTCTTATTCTCCCTCTCACTGCTTCACACCTATAACTAACCTACCCATTCATCCATTCACTCCCTCAGTCAGTCATTCATGTAACTGTTCATAAAGAGTGTGGATTCCCACTGCAGAAGCCAGGGCTATGCTTGCCTGTGCTATGGGGAAGCTGCCCTCAGGGAACTCTTTGTCTGGGGCAGATGATTATCACACATGTGAAGAAACTAAACATCAACACAGGGCCTGTAAAACCTAATAACAAGAGGGGACGGGGAAGCTTCCAGAACTATAAAAATCAGAGGGAATAGAGATTAGGAAGGGCACCCGGGGACAGAAGTCTTGAATTTTGAATGGAGAAGAGGGGAAGTATAGGGCAATTGAGAACAAAAAGAATAGAGGTACCAGGGTGGGATACACATGACAAGATACATACCAGGTGGGTGAGGAAGGTTGTGTGTTTGTGCATATACATATGGGGGAGGAGAGGACGATCATAGCTGGGTCCAGAGGAATGGCTGGGTGGACCTCCGACAGAGACTGTACCCTGGAGGGAGCTTGCCCCACACAATGGTTCCAACATTCCCAGTGGCCTTAAAGAAGACTGGTACTCTCAGACTGCCGTGACCTCCTGCTACCTGTCCACCATTGCTCATGTCTGGCATGGCAAAAAGAGAGCCCAGCTTTCATTTAAGAGCAAAGAGGTTTGAAGAAAGCTCAGACACGGTAAGAGTGATGGCGTGGAGAGGGGTGGGATGCAGGGGGACCCTGGGGAAGGAGGCTTCAAACCCAAACCAATCCCCGGCCTGATTTCCCCAGAGTCAACTCACACATGGCTCTGCATTTGCCCAGAAAATTATGAACCAATCAGCAGACAGTCCCAAGGGATAGGAGGCACTGCCTTCTTTAATGAGTGTGCCCCCACCCCACCCCCCGGATCCTCTGGCTGCCTTGACAGCCTAACTCATCTGGATCTAGGCGGTACCCCTCGATACAGATATTTGCCCCAATACCTTTTGCATATATGGGACACAAGGCTAGAGATCCAGTAACAGCAGTAAGAAGGTTTGCTGAAGATCACCCAGTACCATGGCAGCTGGGGCAGGTTGAGAATTCTCTGCCAACTGGCCTAGAGGTACCCAGGCATCTGCAGTGAGTGGAAAGAAGGTGATGGAGTGGGCAAAGGCCTTAGCTAGAAGGGGCACCAGCCAAGCAGCTCTGGGCTCAGAGCTCCATCCCCTCTCCAAGCTTCAGTTCTCTCATCTCCACGGTTGTAGGGGTGGAGTGGTCATTTCTGGAACTTGCTCTCTCTGATGATATTGTAAATCGTTTGCATTTGGCTGCTAACCTAAGGATTAGCAGTTGGAGCCCACTCCGCAGTGCTTCTGAAGAAAGGTCTGACAACCTACTTCTGTAGTTTACAGACAAGAAAACCCTGTGGAATTCTCTGGAATACATGGGGTCACCATGAGTTGGAGTTGGCAGGAGGACAACAGGCTTTGGGGATTTTGTCCTCTCTGACATCTTGGGATGCTGGGATTTTCCTCCAGGTGCCCCAAGGCCAAGGGAGTTTGAGGATCTAGGAGACCTCTGTATGACCTGTCAAAGAAAAACAAATCCAGACTTTGCTAGGGAGAAGCTTTATTCAAAAAGAAAGAGTGTTGCAACAGGGAACATTTTCCACACTCAGAAAACTGCAAGCAACTCAAAATGAAATAGAAAAGGACTTTTCTTTTGTAGGGTAAGGAGGGGTATGCAGAGATAAGTAGAATCTTTGGGGAGAAAGTAGGACAGGACAGGAAAATGGCCACTGGGTCTGACAGGAAAAGTGTCTCACTGTGGTCAGCAGAATCCCAGGAGAAACTGATAAGGGGAGGAGGGCAGGGACTTATCTTTCTGTTTAGTTTTTGAAATTTTTTAGTGCTTTCTTAGGCTGGGGGGGGGTTGGTGGCAAACCGAGTTCAGGGGCCTATAGGAAGGAGGAAAAGAAGCCTGAGTAGAGTTTGGTCCAAAGGATAAGGCATGGGCAGTTGTAAACATTTCTTTCTCACAATCTGTGTGACCTTGAGCCAACAGGTCTGCAGACCTACTGATTCTTACCTAATTCAACTATTGTTGTTGGTTGCCAATTCATGGCAACCCTGGTCCTACACCACCCTCTGGTTGGAGAATCAGACCCATGTGATCCCAGAGGGTTTGCACTGGTGTTCAGGATTGAAACACCAGGGCTTTCTTCCCAGTCCATCTTAGTCAGTAAGCTCCACTCATAACTGTTCTGCATCATCACAGCACCCAAGCCTCCACTGATAGACCAACGCTAGAACCCAGGCCTCTGGCAAGGAGGGTGAGAATTCTACCACTGAAACAGTACCAGTGCTACTGGTAAGTGCTGTGCCGTAGGTTCTGAGTCATAGCAACCCTGTATAGGATTTCCCAGGAGCAGCTGGTGAATTTGAACCATCGACCTTGTGGTTTACTGTCCAGTGCTGATCCTCTACAGTGCCACACCAGGAGTTAGGAGAACATAAAGGGAAACTATGTGCAAAGCATCCAAGCCCAGGGTGGAAGTCAAAATGGAAGTCCCTTTCAGAATGTACCTCCCCTAGCACCAAATGCCCCATGGGAGGACCGCCTCGCCATTGCCTTTGTTACGTATGACTGCAAGAAACAGAAACGGCAACTCAATCAATGCAAAAACAAAGAATATTCATTGTCACACTTCACAAGGAATCCTGAGGGTGCCACCAGAAGTGGTTGGTTTAGTTGTTTGGCCGCATCCTTAAGGCCAGGACCTTTCCAACACCCCAAATTGCCATCCTCAGCTCGTGGGGACAAAAAAAAAAAAAGACCACACTGTTCAAGGACTCCTACCCAGATTATGACCAAAGTCCTGGAGAAGACAGGACCCACTTCTCTTTGGGTATGATGTTTATGAGAAACTAGAACTCGGCCCAGCAACCCCTCAGCCAACCTCCCCTCTTGTTCTATTGTCTAGAATTGGGTCACATGCACTTGCTGAGCCAATCACTGCTGTGAGTGCAGGAAGGGGGACCTGCTGGCCTTGAGAAGGAAGGGCAGAGAATGACTGTGCGGTGGGCAGTCTGCTGTGTGTGCGCTTCACCCCTGGCGAAGGTGGTAGACCCTGGAACTCTGCCAAGTAGAAGCAGAAGTTGGTGGAAAAATGACTTCACCTGGGGCAGCCTGCTAAGCCCAGAGTGGGGCAGGACATAAGAGTCCGTCCTACATCCTCACCCCACACCTTTGAAGGGAGTCATTGCCAACAAGTTGCTCCTGTTGACTTGTCCTTCTATAGAGCTGGGCCTGAGACCCTCAAACTTGTGCAAACCATCATCTCCTCCTCAGTCTCCACAGCCAGTCTCTTCCTGACATCTCAAGTGACCCTTTTCAATCCTCACTAACCCTACCGTAGTGCTGGCCTTGTCCTCGCTTGTCTGGACCATTGCTGCAGTCTCTACTCGGCCAACTTCAACCACTTTCTGAGCAGCCGGCGAAGTCCTGGTGTGGCGCTGTGGGTTAATGCGCCAGACTGCAAAGCCGTTTGAACTGTAAGGTCAGCGGTTCAAGCATACCAGCTGCTCCGCAGAAAACCTATACAGGGTCGCTATGGGTCAGAACCGACTTGACAACATTTAACAACAACAACTGAGCAGCAGGCAGGGCGGCCTTGTCCCTGTCACCTAAAGGATAAAGATCACAGGGCCCTGTCTCCAGCTTCCTGTCTCCCTGCCTGGATTCTCACAGTGGTTCTCCACACCCTTGCTGGCCTCTCTCATCTCCCAGCCTTGGCTTCTGCTGCCCTTTCAGCCTGGAATGGCTTCCCCCCTTCTTACCCACTGCCCTCATCCCTGAAGTCGTCCCTTCCCCAGGTCAGAAGTTTCTCCATGACATTCCAGCTGCCATAAACATAGCTCCAGACCTAGGCCTCTGGGGAGCATGTGACTGACTGTGTGCCCACTCCCACCCCCACTGGCAGACTGGAGCTCCAAAGGGACTGGCTCTAGCTTCCCCCAACCCCTGTGCCCCACAGCACCCCACAGGTGTGAAGGTGGAAAAATCCGCCAGTCAACATTTGCTGAGTTTAGCTAAATTGAAATTTCACCTTCACAGCAAATAATCAAATGTCTCCTTCAACCCTCCCAGTCTTTCAAGGTGTGGAGCACAAGGCATTTCCCAGTGACAATAAGAAACCCAGGTCATAGAAAGGAGAAGGGACTAAACAGACCTGGGACCAGAGCTGAGGGGTCCTCACTCCCTCAAGGCCCTGTGACCAGCATCAGTGCCAGACACTGTTCTCAGGGTGGTTGGCACTATGCCTGGACAAAGCAAGCAGTGGTGGGTGTAGGTGGGCCCTGGGGAAAATGGGAGCAAAGACTGTGGGCTCGTGCACTGAAGGTTCTGTCCCCAGGGAGAGCAGGTCTGCCACTGTGGCTGAGGGTTAATGGCTTTTCTGAAGACCACAGCTATGGGCTAATCACATTCCTTGATGCCACAGCATGATGTGGCCTTTCCATTAGCATTACAAGCAACAGCTCCCCCACCCCCACCCTCACACATCAGCCTCTAGAATCTTTTCCAGGGCCCTGGCATCTCTGCTGGTCATTTAACATTGGTCCCTCCCACTGACAGACGCGCGCGCGCGCGCGCGCGCGCACACACACATATACTCGCTGCACACACATGAGAGACAGACAGGCAGACAGGCAGAGCCTCTGTCCTCAATTCTTGCCAAGGTCTGAAGGGATCTTTCTGGGGAACTAACTATTCAGGGAAAGGGCTGTGCCCTGCTGGGTAGGTGCTCACCACCCTGACCCCTGACTTTGTAGTTTCCATCTAGACATTATCAGCTTCCAGAGGGGACAAGCAGTGATGGTGGTGGTGGTGGTGGGCCAACTCACAGTGGCCCGGCACTGGGTTTCTGAGGCTGTAAATCTTTATGGGAGCAGAAAGCCTCATCTTTCTCCAGAGGAGCAGCTGGTAGATTTGAACTGCTGACTTTGCGATTAGCAACCCAATTCATAACCTACTATGCTACCAAGAATCTATTAATGAGCCTCTTCCAGGGTGAGAGTCGGGGTCAACAGCCCTGGACTGAGTCACAGGACCTTGTTGAGAACCCCGATGCCTGAGAAGTGGCCCAAGGCCATGTGGATGCTCCTCTGACACCCAGACATGAAACCCAGATAATGGGGTAGCTCTGGGTTGGGATAGTTTGGGGATTCTCCCTGAAAGTTAACTCTCAGGCATAGAACCCAAAACTAGCTTTTCTGGCCTAGTTTAGTAGCCAAGTGCTTGCTCCAAAGTCTGCTCCCAGGGACACTCTTAGGACCCCAAGTACTATTCCATGTTCAGGTCTCCATGGCCCCAAAGTGGCTGCAATGCATCTCCTCAGGTGCAGGGCAGATACAGCTGAGACATGGTCTGGGCCTTGGAGACTCTGGGCAAACACATTAGTGTGACAGGCATCAGGGCCCTGCCACCTGGGGAGGAGGGACACACTCGCACTGGTATTTCACAATTCTGCATCAATAACTCCGGAGCTGGCGGTACATTTGTGCTAACCTTTTAGAGCGATGACTGATTCCCGCAGGGCAGAGGGAGGTGGGAGCAGCTGCCACTGATGCTGACAGCCCCTGGCTGAGGACAGAGAGGAGGCAGTGACTTAGAGTCTGCAATGCTGACCCCCAACGCCTCCCCACCTCTGCTGGTTCCAGGCAGGGCTGCATGCTGGGAGTTAGAGGTGGAGACCCCCATCTCTCAGTCCCCACAATCTCCCTCTCCAGCCCTGCAGATGCCCAGCCTCCAGCTGGAGAACCCTCAGCGTCCATCTCCACTCTGCACACATCTCCACACTTTGGTTTGTGGTGTTGTGCCACCTAGAAGGTCTTTCTCTCCTAACCCCACCCGCCCCCAAAAGCAACTGCCAAGTCCATTCCAGCTCATAGTGACCTTAATGGATTAAGTAAAATTCCAGCTCATAGTGACATTAATGGATTAAGTAAAAAGGGTCTCCAAGAGTGTAAATCTTTACATAAACACTCATCTTTCTCCTACAGAGTGGCTAATGAGTCTGAACCTTGTGGTTAGTAGTCCAATGCTTAATTCACTGCACCACCAGGATTTCTTTCTCCCCTGTTGGTTGGTTGGCTGTATGTCATGGAGTTGGTTCTGACTCATAGAGACCTTGTAACTCTTTACAAGAGCAGAAAGCCTCATCTTTCTCCCAAAGGACAGCTGGTAGTTTCAAACTGCTGACCTTGAGGTTTGCAGCCCAACTCATAATCACTATGCTACCAGAGCTCTGTCCTTTCTCCTCTGTTGTTGTTGTTGTTAAGTGCCGTCGAGTCGGTTCTGACCCATAGCAACCCTGTATAGGATTTCTGAGGAGCAGCTGGTGAACTTGAACCGCCAATCTTGCAGTTCAGGTGGTTTTGCAGTCTGGTGCATTAACCCACAGCACCACACCAGGACTCCTCCTTTCTCCCCTACACCCTACCAAATCTGCCTTCAGAGCCTTCCTCTGGCCCTGTCTCCATCAAGAAGGGTTTTCTGACAACCCACAGGAATGTCTTGTAGAGCTCCCTTGTTTGGGGATCACAGTTAACACTGAGGAACACTGGTGGTGCAGTGGTTAAGCAATGACTGCTAGTCAAGAGATCAGCAGTTTGAACCCACTGGCCACTCCAATGACCCTAGTGCTCTGCCACTGTGGTGTAGCTCTACTCTCACACTGGTACAGGGTCATTATGAGCTGGAATCGGCGCAATGGCACATAGACAGTTATTGCTGTCTTGCTTAGTTGTTTAAATACTGCCTGTGTGAGCTCAGTATGCCATCAAGTACCCTGAATGCCTGACACCCTGATCCAAAGACCCACTGAGGCTCAGGCGTCTCAAGGACTTAGGGCCTTGTGGATGGGGCTGGGCAGCCTGTGGATAATAAGGACCTGGTTGTAAGAGCTGAGTCCTATCTTGGTATCTACAACATCACCAGACACGGGTTGGAACATTGATGTAACTCTTTAGGAAGACAGTTTACCGATAATGAACCCAGTGCCTTAAAAGACGCATGTCCTTTAACTCAGCAAAGGAATCCTAGTGATACGGTGGGTTAAGCATTGGGAAACTAACCAAAAGGTTGGCCGTTTGAACCCACTAGCTGCTCCAGGGGAGAAAGATGAAGCAGTCTACGGGGCGGTTCTACTTTATCCTATAGCATTGCTGGGAGTCAGAATCAACTCAGTGGCAATGGGTTTTTGATTGGTTGGTTGGTTTTGTAGTTTGCTGAAGCCATTTTATAGCTAATGAGAGTTTCCAGTGATTCTACATATGCTTTTTAAGTTTTAATGATTAATTTTTTTTAAAGGCAGAGTGCTAGGATTGTAATTCTATTAAATAACAGAAAAAAATTCTATTAAATAACAGAAAAAAAAAGTCCACCATCTTATGAAAGTCATCCTCAGTGGTGGTGGTGGTGGTGTTGTTGGGTGCCATCGAGTCAGTACTGACCCATAGAGACCTTATGCACAGCAGAATGAAACACTATCCGATCCTGGGCCAACCTCACTACTGTTGCAATACCGGAGTCCATCAATGCTGCCACTTGGCCAATCCATCTCATTGGGGGGGGTCTTCCTCTAGGCATATAGATATTGTTTTTATTTGTATGTATTTTCCCAAACTTATTCATTAAGAGTGTGTTTCTTCTATAATTGGGACAGTGTGACATATATAGACACACACACAACCAAATGTCATCTGACTTCCTAATGCGGGAATTAGGAAGTGTGACTCCACCTCCTGTGACTCCACCTCCTGCCCCGCCCTCTCCTTCCAGCTAACCAAGCCCGGGGGACCCCCAGAGCAGCCCCAGTGGAACCAATCCTTCCTCTTCCAAAGCTGTGATGGAGCCACCAACTTCTCAGGAGACACAGCCCTGGTCTTGGAATACTATTCATCTTCCTTAAGTAAGTGTCCCCTAGTGCCACACCAGGGCAGCCAAGATGTCAGGAGACATGAATGAAAGGGTGTTCTGAGCATCCCCACCTCTGCCTTCTATAGTGATGGGTCAAGTGTCCCTGATTCCAAGTGCATGCAGACAGGTGGAGGAAGAGCCTAGGTGGCATACTTGCTAAAGTGGCATAGAGCAGGATGTTGTTGTTGTTAAGTGCCATCCAGACAGTTCTGACTCCTAGCAATCCTGTATGGGCTTTCAGAGGCTGTGCTGATAGGCTTTTACCACGGACCTTGCAGTTAGCAGTCCAGTGCTTATCCTACAGTGCCACACCAGGACGAGTGTCCTATTCCCATAGCAAGTCCATACTTTGGGGAGGTCTGTGCTTTTTTACTGTGCCCATCAGTGAGGAGGGAGGTCGGTGGGTCACTCAGACCTCACAGCTGAGTGAGAAGACAGGACTGAGGGATCAACTGACCTAAGACACTGTATGAGATTGAAGCCCCCAAAAGCCAGAGGCAAGGGAAAGCTGTATCAATACACAGAATACTCATATGTTCAGGGTTGGCCATGAATTCTGGAAACCCTGAAGAGTGTGGGGAAGTAGAAGGATGCTTGTGCAGGGAAAGGCCAGGAGGCAGGAAAGCAGGTGGGAGATGGGATACGGGAGAACAACATGACTGATATCAAAGAGCAGCAAACAGAAGGGGGATGAAGTCGATGAAATCAAGGAAGCAGGGATGGAGGCTTTGGCAAGAGCCTGAGCTAATGCCAACCCCCCACCCCCCCAATCTACTTCAGTGAAAGGCAGTGAGCCTTGGACCTTCAGCCAGCCCCTGGGCATCTCCGTGTTGCCGCTCAAAAGTCGTTTGTACCGCAAGATGCTGGCAGGGAAGGGCCTGAGCGGACTGCGCATGGAACGGCTCCCCATTACCGTGAGTCCCTTTTCCAACACACCCCACCCCATCCTACCCCACGTCCACAGGAGAGTTTGGCTTCTCAAATAACTTCTACCAGGACACCCACTAGGGAAGCTGGTAAGTGTCAGGGTATCCCAGGAACACCAAACTTCAGTCTTCACTCTGGGGTCAGTAATGAACCCACCAGAGAAACCGCTCCTGAACAACTTGAGGAGAATCAGGGCGAAGCCTGTGAGATAGTGACCAGAGCTCAGGCTTCAGTCAGACAGACCTGGGTTCAAATCTTTCCTTGGTCTCTTCCTCATTGTAGAACCTGAGGCAAGTCACTTAACCTCTCTGTGCTGCAGAATCTTGCTTTCTAAAACGGAAATAATGCTGGAAGAACAGTGAAATAAACGTGAAGTGTCCCGTGCATGAGCTCTCTGAATAAGGAGATAATCCAGAGCATCTTGAGTCCAAGTTCCAGGTCCACCATTTACCACTTTGGGAAAAGTCTTGCCATTTCAATGCCTAAGTTCCCTTGTCTGTAAAATGGGTATATAGTAATGATATCTTTCTCATAGTTGCTGTAAGATATGGATGAGGAAATAGAAGAAGGGCTTTCAAAAGTTTATGGGAAAAATTCCATTGTCTCTTAATTTCATTTTCCACAAACTTTTTGAAGCTCCCTCTTAGAATACACCCTCAATAAGAATTCATATTATTATCATGATCTATTTCTGTATCAGGGAACATGGGGGCTCCATACAAGCCACAGGTCCATGGTTCGAGCCCACAGGAGAAAGATGAGGATTTCTGTTCCCACAAAGATTTAAAACTTTGGAAACCCTATACAGGGTCATCATAAATTGGAACCGACTCAACAGCACTTAACAAAAACAACATTTCTGTTAGATGCTATCGAGTTGGTTCCAACCCATAGTCACCCTCTGTACAACAGAATGAAACACTGCCAGGTCCTCTGCCATCCTTACAATGGAGCCCATTGCTGCGGCCACTACCCATCCATCTCATTGAGGTCTCACTCTTTTGTCGCTGACTTTCCACTTTACCAAGCATGATGCCCTTCTCCAAAGACTGGTTCCTCCTGTTAACATTTCTATACAACCTTTTCCCCTAAAATACCTATGGCATCCTAACGTGATTTTTGTTGTTGAGTGCCACCAAGTCGGGTCTGACTCATAACAACCCCCTATAGGGTTTCTGAGACGTGGCTGGTGTGTTTGAACCACTGATCTTGTGGTCCAATTCTTATTGTATGGAGCCACACCAAGACTCCTTCTAACATGATTATTATTGTTAAGTGCCATCGAGTCAATTCTGACTCACCGAGACCCTGCATAGGATTTCCAAGGAGCTACTGGTAATTTTGAACCACTGACCTTGTGGTTCGAACCAACCTTGCAGTCCAGTGTTTTATCTACAGCCCCATCCCATTTTTTGTTGTTTAGTGCCTTCAAGTAGATTTCAACTCATAATGACCCTGTATAGAATTTCCAAGGGGTGGCTGACAAGCTTGAATCATGACCTTATGGTCCAGCACATTAACCCACAGCGCCACACAAGAGCACTTCTCCTTCAGTCAGGAAATGAACCCGTGGGGGTCTTCTAAAGGGCTTGGCCAGTCAAGTCTCCTATGAAGTTGGGAGATGTGGGTGTGGAGGTGGTGAGGGTAAACCAGGACTTTAAACTGGTTCCTTCAGGTTGAGAAGTTGAGAAGTTGCCTTTCTACCTATATATATGGAATCGGAATCTACATTTTAACTAGATCCCCAGGAGATTATTATATAGACATATGCTTATGAACATAAGAATTCTTATGCCTATATCAGAATCCCCAGATGATCTTATTAAAATGTAGATTCTGATTCAGTGTCCCTGGTGTGGAAATACAAATTCTCAGCAGGGGGTTGAACCAGAGCCCTGAGGTAAACAGAGGCAGAAGTCCTCTCCCACTCACCTGGGCACAGCCCCAGCAGACGGTGGGTAGAGCTGAGACAGAAGCTGCCGGGCCAATAGCCAGCATGGTCTGACTGCTCCCTTCTCTACCCAGGACACTAAACTGAAAACTATAAATGGCGAGACCCCCACAGTGGACCTCTCCCTCCAGCTGCATTCCTCTGAGGTAAGGCTTTGTGTGTGCAGATCAGGGTCTGGCAGACATGTGGTGGTTCCACAGCCCCTCAGTGGTTCCACTCTCCTTGACTATTGTTGCTCCTAGTCCGGGGCTGGGGACCAGGGGCTCTCCGGGAGTAACTGCTGCTTCAGATGGAAATGTCTGAGGAAGGCTGAGGTTCAGGAAACCAAAGAGAGGGCTGAAGTATCATTGTTCTTATCCCGGATATGTTCTTGCTGGGTGGCCATTGGATGTAAATAGAGCTCTGGTAGCGTAGTGGTTACGAATCGGGCTGCTATCCTCAGGGTCAGCAGTTCGAAACTACCAGCTGTTCCACTGGAGAAAGATGAGGCTTTCTGCTTCCATAAAGATTTACAGCCTCGGAAACCCTGTACAGGGTCACTATGAGTCAGGACTGACTCCACGGCTCATAACAACAATATGTCAAAGGAGAACTGCCCCATAGGGTTTGCTTGGCTGCCATTTTTATGAGAGCAGATGACTAAGTCTTCCCCCTATAGAGCTACTGGGTGGTTTGAACTATCAACCTTTTTGTTAGCAGCCAAGCACTTAACCGGTGCATTACCAGGGCCTCTTAGAAACCAAGGAGACTAGGAAGAGAAGAGTTGAATACGAAGGACACTCAGACCTGGGAGTCAGCTCTACCCCAGTCTAAACCAAGTTTGGCTCACTAGGATCAAGGGTCCACCAGGGTGGACTGGATTATGCATTTCCTATCGCTGCTGCATAACAAATTGCCACACACAGCAGCTTAAAACAACACTTACTTTAGCTCACAATTCTGTAGGTCAGAGACCCCCACAGCCCAGCTGGGCTCTGTGCTCAGGGGCTCACAAGGCTGAAACCAAGGTCCTGGCAGGGCTGCACTCCTTCCTAATGGTTCTGCAGAAAATTCTATTGTTGGCAGAATCCAGTTCTTTGCATTTGTAGGACAGAGGTCCTCATTCCCTCACTGACCGTCAACGCGGGGACCTCCCTCAGCTCCATACTGCCACCCACATTCCTTCTCACAGGGCTTCCTCCCTATTTAAACCAGCAGGCATGGTGAATGCCCCTCATATTTTGAATCTCTCTGGCTTCCTCTTGTATTAACAGCCAGAGAAAACTCTCTGCTTCTAAAGGGGTTCATGTGGGTACACTAGGTTCATCCCAATAGTCTCCCTATCTTAAGATCAACTGTCCCATATGCCGTAACAATCACATCAATGATATGACATCATATTCATAGACTCCAGAAGTTAGGATACAGAATCTAAGGGACCCGTGTTAGAATCCTGCCTTCCACAACTGGCTTGGTCCAGTGGAAAGGCACCTGGTTGAGCCCTGCCTGGTGGACAGTCCTCCATCCCTCTAACCAGCTATGCTTGGGTTTCAGGAGTCCAGCCTGGATCCTGGTCATTTGTCTCCAGGGCACCTGGCAACTACCTGATAGAATTTTTTCACTTTCCACTCTCTGGTATTGACCCTTAGGGACAGACCGGAAGTTGAGGTGTGGACACAACTTAGGTCCATGAACTGGGAATGGTTAGCAAGGGCTGATATCTGAGTCAGCTCACTCTTGCCAGCTTCCTATGGCAGGAAAAATAGCCACCAACTCTGGGGAATACTGGGTCCTATGGCCTCACCCAGGAAAAGCTCAATGGATTCCATGTGTGGGGAATGAAAGGATTCTAGCAAGGTTTGGTTTTTTTTTTTTTAAGTACCGTCAAGTCGGTTCCAACCTGTAGCAACCCTATATAGGGTTTCTGAGGAGCAGCTGCTGAGCTTGAACCACCAACCTTGTGGTTCAAACCAACTTTGTAGCCCAGTGCAGCCCCAAAAGATGTTCCCACAAAGCCTCTTGTGAGTTTCTGAAATCTCTCCATGAGCAGTCTCTGCTGCAGATGTTCAGCATTGTCCTCTCAAGACTCTGAAATCCTGGTTTAAAGAGTGGGTGCCCTCCTCAGCCCAAAACTAGGTGTAGGAACAAGAAGGTGTTGAAGGAGGAGGACACAGAAGATACAAAAGATTTCAGGGAAGGGGCTGCAGGGTTCTTAGAGAAAAATACCACAAGTCCCCCAGATTAGAGCCTAACCTTCCAGGATCTCAGCCCAGAATTTGGATTCTGCCAAAGGTCATTGCTGTCCTCACCTCCTGCTGCCCCCTACCCCCTTCACTGAGACCCATGTGTCCTGGGACTGAAAAGAATGTCAGGTACCCCTGGTCTGAGTAGTGGTAGACTCAGGCAACCAACAGGCAGGTGGGCAGGACACTTCCCCAATTGCCCAGGGGCTGGGCACAAGGGTCTCAGCGATGAATTATTCACTGGAGCTGTGCTAAGTGCAGAATTAATCCCTTTCCTTCCAGCTGGCGGCCTCACTAAATTATCCCTCCAAGTCATGCGGGAAAACGCTGCCGAATTCATTTAGCTGCTCAGTGTTTTGATCTGGGCCTTGTGATTTTAGCTTCCCCTTCCCCCAACCCACCTCCCTCTAGAGGCAGGTTTAAAAAAAAAAAAAAAAAGCTTTTAGTAATGGATTTCCAAGAAGAAAGGAAAAAGGATCAAGATTGGTTGTACACCAAGAAAACAGTACTAGCGGAAATTCAGAATCTGATTCAGAAATTGGAGTCTGCAGCCAAGGATTCACACACGTACACACATTCTTATACAATTGCATTTGAATATCCACACAGTCACATATGCACAAATACGCACTTCTCCACACACACACACCTTTGCAACAATGTATACATTTGATGCATATTTATGTGCTTACATGCAAACTGACGGCAGACATTTTCATACACCATTGGCACACACACAAGCTGTCTGCTTACCTCAACTATTTCTTGGTGAAACTACTTGGAGATTTGCCAATAACGGACTCACTTTGATTCTAGAACTTCGATGATCTATTTTGGGGCAGGCCTAAGTATGTAGTGCTAATGTAAGTGGATTTAGCATAAGGGTCTTCTTGCAATCTTATTCCTTCCTTCTTTCCTTTATTCCACACAATGCTGATGAGGCGCCACTATGTGCCAGGTACTGTGCAAGGCAAGAGCTAGAATATTGGCTGCCCATGGACTATGATGAGGAAGAGAACCCACATGCCTTGACTTCATCATCACTGGGCCCTTTTGACATCCTACTTCCTAGGGTGGGCAGGTGGGCAGAGTGAGCAGGAGAGTGTTGAAATTGATGAACTGGTCAGAGGATGTTACAATTCAGTCTAAAGGAGCTCACTCCCACCTGCTCACCACCATCATCACTATAACGCCATCATTGTCTCAACCACACTGCAAAAATTTATCCAGCACCCATGGGGTAGCATACACTACCCTGGGTTGTAGGGCTATTGCATTGAGTTAGACCAGAAAAGGCCCTGTCTCCATAGAGCTGCATTCTTAGAGAGCAGGGAGTGTGCCACAGACAATGAACAAACAGCTCCATTAGCAGATACTGCAGTAGCTATTAAGTGCCATTGAGTCGGTTCTGACCCATAGGGACCCTGCCACTGACCTTGTGGTTCAAACCAGCTTTGCAGCCCAGCGCATTTAACCCACAGTGCCACACCAGGCCTCCTTAGCAGATATTAGGTAGTTATAAGTACCACGGTGAAAACCAAACAAGGTGATATGGTAGGAAGTGGTTAGAGAGGCTATTTGGATTGTATATGTGGTATCTTTGTATGGTTAGGAGACAAGCTGTTTTAACAAAGAGACCAGGTTCTTTTCATCTTACTGCTCCATCTAAGGAGTGATCAGGGCTCTCATACAGCACTGTAGGATAAGCACTGAACTGCTAACAGCAAGGTCAGTGGTTCAAACCCACCAGCCGCACCTCAGAAACTCTATTCAGAGTTGCTACGAGTCAGAACCAACTTGATGGTACTTAATAACAAGAAGTAAAAGTAGATGGTTGGTGAAGACAGGGAAACCCTGTTGGACACAACAGTCATACCAATGACTCAAACATGAAGAATGGCACATGGCTGAGCAATGCTGCGGTCTGTTATCCAGAAGGTCGGCATGAAGTGGAGCCAACTTGATGGATGGCAACTTACAACAGTCAAGAAAGGGCCTGCTAAAGGGGAGAAATTTGAGATCTAAGTGAGAAAACACATAACAGGCATGAAAGGAACTAGGGAAAGAATGTTCCAGACAGAAAAAACAGCCAGAAAAGGACAAATGTGCCCTGTTCCAGGAACCAAGGGAGCAAGTGAAGAGAACAAGAGGAAACAAGATGTAGACAGCACCAGGCATGTGGGCTCTTCATTTATTTCTCATGATGGTAAACTGTGGAAAGATTCCACTCAGGAAGTCACATGGTCTGTCTGACACACGTTTTTAAAGATCACTCAAGCTTCCCTCTGAATAATGGATTATAAGAGGTCATAGTAGAAACTGGGAGAGGGGCTACAAGGTCCAGACAAGAAATGAAGGTGGCTCAGAACCAATGACGTATTGCATTGGGCAAATCTGCTGCACAAGACCTTTTAAAGTGAGGAAGAGCAAAGATGTCAGCTTGAGGACTAAGGTGCGCCTGACCCAAGCCATGATATTTTCAATAATTTCATATGCATGTGAAAGCTGGACAGTGAATAAGGAAGACTGTAGAAAAATTGATGTCTTTGAGTTATGGTGTTGGAGGAGAATATTGACGGTGCCATGTGCTGCCAAAAGAACCAATAGATCCATTTTGGAAGAAGTACAGCCAGAGTGCTCCTTGAAGGTCAAGATGGCCAAACTTCGTCTCTCATACTTCTGCCATATTGTCAGGAGGGACCAGTCACTGGAGAAGGATATCATGTTTGGTAAGGTGGAAGGTCACAGAAAAAGAGGAAGACCCTCAACGAGATGGATTGGCCAGGTGGCAGAGTTGATGGACTCGAGTGTGGCAACAGTGGTGAGGTTGGCTCAGGATCTTGCAGTGTTTTGTTCTGCTGTGTATAGGTCGCTATGAGTCGGTTCTGACTCGATGGCACAACAACAACAACAACAGAACAATG